GAAGGACACAGTGCAGGACCTCCCAAAGTCACAACATATTGTTAAACATGGGCATCAAACTAGGAGATCGCCAAGATTGCAGCAGTCCTCTGATGTTTCTACAATATCTTTGAGAAGCAGAAAAGTTAAAGAAACGCATGCTTCTGTTACAAAACAATGTAATCAGATGAAAAAGCTGGTACCACAACTTAAACATGAAAAATTGAAACATGCCCACCAGAAATTAGGAAAGTGTGTGGAAGACAATGATCAAATTAAAATAAGAAAAATATCAGATAATAAGAAAATGGGTTGTTTCTCCCCCAAAAAACATGAAGTGGATTCTGAAATCAGTGATTCAACTACATCTCAAGATAAGCCAAGAGAACTGAGAAATAATTTTGAAAATAAAGAATTTGAAAAGGAAGTTGCCAACACAATTTCCTGTCCTATAAATTCAGCTTGCAGTATAGTAAGCAAAGCAAAGTCAAAGCACAAAAATGGAAAAATCAGTGTAAAAGCAGATAGAGTTTTGCCAGTAGAACCTGTTTGTCAACAAGAAGATGTGGTAAAATCCAAAAAGATTAGCATTCTTGAACTGTGTGAAGAAATTGCTGGCGAGATTGAATCAGATACAGTAGAGGTAAAAAGAATTTCTCCTAACCCTGACTATGGAAAAGAGGAGGAAAAAAATCCAGTGCTTGAATTGCCACAGGATATAGTATTAAATGAGGAGAAAACTAACCAGAACTCTCAATGTAAGCGATTTTTTCCCAGCAGAAAAGGGATGTCTGTCAAATGTACTGTAAATGGCAGACATAGCACAATGAACAAAAATTCTAAATGGACCAAAATAAAATTAACTAAAGTCAACCATGTGAGCCATAGTATCTCAAGTACTCCGAAGCTTGATGTTTTAAAATGTAATGATCCTGAGGAACAACAAGCCAGAACTGTAGAAATACACCTTCCAGAAGTCCAAAGGAAATTATCTGAAAACAATGATAGCACAATACGTGAACAGAAGTTAAGTACATCTGATTTTGAAGGAATCCAGATTAAAGATAGAATGCTACATGCTGAACAGTCCACTTTACAGAAGATAGAGAATGGTTTGTCTGAGGCAAAGCATTGTCCTGGGCCAACACCAGATAAGGTAATTATTTTGTAATATAACAGTACGATTTTGTATTTTATTGCAGAATTAGTTTGTTTCATGGGGCAATATGATGTACTTTGAGGATGAGTATAATGCAGTGCATTCTGTTTAACCTAAAATAACTTAAATGCACTATCATGCATTTATCATTTATTACATCATTTATCACTCATGTCCTAATAACTTTGCAGCTTGACTATTGCAACACACATACATGAGACTGAACTTGAAGACAACCCAGAAGTTTCAAAACATCCAGAATATAGTGGCATAAGTAATGATGGGCATGTCTTAGTATGCCCATGTAAACACCTCTGCATCGTGAACTGTACCTGGTTGCATCCCACGCAAGCAGCTTGCTTCTGAGTGTGATTTAAGGTGCTGGTTGCTGTCTATAAAACCTTACCTGGCATCAGGACGGATTACTAGAGGGACTGCCTGTCTCTCATTGTATCCATCTGACCACTTTCATCCTACAGGGTTGGCATGCTTTGGATTCCTTCAGTTAAATAGTATCATTGAGTGGAACCCTGGAAGTGTGTCTTTTCTGTAACAGTGCTTGCGCTTTGGAAGATCCAGATGCGCCCCCCCTCCCGCTGATGTTCAGAAGAGGGGTGAAGACCTGGCTTTTCACCCAGGCTTTTGGCAAGGGAGAGTGAGACTTCTCACCTGACTCCATTTGATCTGTCAGGAGCAGGGTAGCACTAAGAGGCAATACATTACTAAAAACTAACTGTAAAAAGATGGTTTGAAATGTTTTGTCTGTTTTTTCATATAGGTAACTGAGTATCATGGGAAAGACCGCTAAGTTCAATAAGTTGAGTTATTTATTATCTTTTAGATTTGAGAGATTTTCTTGGCTAGTTTATTGGGAGCTAGAGGTATCTGTGAAAGTGTTTGTGCATGTACTACACATTTATTATACCTCATGAAGCCATAGGTAGCATATGCAAACCTAATTATACCAGTATGATTTGCTAAGATTATAGGGTGCTTCAAAGAATGAAAGATTTCTAATGTGAACATGTTTTCTGCAGCTTCTTAAAGCAGCTGCATCTTTTTCATGGCCTGTTTAGATGCCCATTACAATGCTGTGTGATCTTAAGGAAAGGGACATTTAGTTTACATTGAATCCAAATGCATGTTTCTGAATGCTTCAAAGCACCTTTTTGCTTTGAATCAGAAGCTCTGCGCTACGCTAAGATTCCTTGAAGATTGAAAGTACTGTTTTAGAATTTCTAAATTCTTTATACATTTGCACAAAGACTCAAGAAAACTGATTAATATTCTCACGAGATAAATTATCTCTAGCCCAACTGTTGCAGCAGTCCTTATAATTTATTGCGTCTCAACTAGACATCTCAATTATGCAAACATGGTAGAAGTTTCTTAAAGTGAACAGAAACAAAAATGTAAATTTTTGAATTGATAAGATCTGTTGTATGTTTGAATAAATGGTTCTTATATGTATATCTTTAGAGTTTCAATTTAGAGTTCACTACATATCCAGAAAATACTTCAGTGAAAATAATTTCAGAACAAACATCTGTGAAGCAAGTAAAAAGAGAGACAACAGAAATCAAACCTCAAGGTAAACTTCAAATTATATTTCATATAAAGTAATTTATAGTTTAAATTCAAATTTATGTACTATGATATATTAAAAAAACTTATATGGCCAAATAATCATGGAATATGAACTTGGAAGGAAACAAGGGTAATCAGATGCAACTTTATTTCCATTAATGGGATAACTTGTGCTTGGAGGATTACTAATAGTGGACCATAAGACTTATCATAAAAATGCCAAAGTGAGGCTGCTTACAGCTTTTTTTGAATTGATCTTACCATTGGCAAATTAAATTCAACTGATTCACTAACATATTGACCACAGTATGCATAACAATAAGCCAGAATTTGTTTTATCATGATATTTTCAATACTTTGTGGTGTGTCAAAATGAATTAAATTCATATCAACACACAGGTCAAAATGTAACAAACCATATCATTGATCAACTTGATGTATGAACCCAATTTTATTGCAGATAGGCAAAATAATCACTACTTGTGAATCGGTTCTTGGGTGTTTTTTTATGTAGCATCAAGAAGAAAACAGATCAGAAAAACTAAATAGAAATAAGATGGGATTCTAGATTTAGACCCAGTGACTCTAACATAATACAGGCATTAAATTGCTGCTGGAACTATACATAGTTACGTGGTTTATAAACTAGTAAAAACATTGTGTGCTCCACTTTCCCACTGAAATACTGAGGTTTTTTTTAAAATGGAATCATGGTTTGGCTTTCACAATTGATATCTATTGGGCAGTGTTGAGCTACAGGGTTTATTGCCATGGTCTAGATAACAGCTGAGTCAATCCCTGCATAATTGCTGTGGTCTGTGTAGCAGTCCATCTTGCTCCTAAAAATGCCAGCTCATAGTTGTCAATGAAAGTAAGGAAATCTGTTACCTAAAAAGATCACACTCATTAAACCCTAAAGCCCAATATTTCCCTTTTGTATATTCTTTTTGTATACAACAGGGGTGGGCAAACTACGGCCCACGGGCCACATCCGGCCCGTTGGTCATTTTAATACGGCCCGCCTCTGAAAAAAAAAAATCTCTGAAAAAAAAATTGGGGCCGGCCAAAAGAGACCCCGCACCAAAAAATCGCACACACAACACGGAGCTGGGCAGCTGCTTCCCTGGTAGCGGGGACAAGGCCGCCGCCCGGGGAACGCCCACTGCTTTCTCTCGCCAGGGCCGGGCGGTGGCGTGTTGCCCTGCGCCGCGTGGCCCCTGCCTGGCAGCGCGCTTCTCGGCTGGTCTCCTCCTCGGCCATACAGAACAAACAGGCAGAGAAGGAGGAGACCAGCCGGCTGGTTGGGGGAAGCTTTCTGCGCCGAAAGAGACAGCTACTAATCTCCGGCTTTGCTCCGCTTCTCCAATGGTCCGGCACCACCCTGTTCTATGCGCCGGCTGCTCGGACTTGCTGGGCCTGACACATAGAACAGGGCGGCGCCGGATGTTGGAGAAGCAGAGCGGAGCCGGAGATCATTAGCTGCCTCTTTCGCAGCACAAGAAGCCTCCCCCAACTGGCCAGGTGCTCTCCTCCTTCTCTGCCTCCTTCTCTGCCTCTCCCCTCTTGCTCCTCACAGTTGCCCTGAGCTGGTGCGGTTCTTTACTTGGGCAGCCAGATGCCTGCAGCAGCACCCACAGCAGCAACAGGCAGTTCCGCCCGGGCTCCGCTCAGGTGTCCGGCTGGGGCTGTCAGGAGGTGCTACCGCCGGCGCAGCTCCACGTGGCTCCAGTCCCACGTTGCCTTGGGAAGGGAAAGGCAAAACCAGGAGCCGCTGAGCCTGAGCCTCCGGTGCCGCTGCTGCTGTTGCAAAGCACCGCCACAGCTCTTCCTTTTTGCCTTTCCCTTCCCGAGGCAACGCGGGACTGGAGCCGTGCGGAGCCGCGCCGGCGGTAGCAACTCCTGACTCAGGGGGCCTCCGAGGGGAGGGGAAGGAGGAGAAGAAGGGGGGGGCGATTCACAAAAAATCTTGTGCTGACCCGGCCCGTCTGTCAAATTTTAAAAGTCAATGCGGCCCCCGAGCCAAAAAGTTTGCCCACCCCTGGTATACAATATAAAGCAACTATAATTTGTTACATTAAAGATACAATTCATAATTTATTTAACCTGTGCAGCTCTAAATCACACAAAGTGTGTGCCTTTCATTATATTTGTTCAACTTATGCACTCCGAGGTAATATAAAACTGAAGGAAAAAAAGCTTTGAAGAACTTGACTAAAGATAATTATCTCCCCAAGTAGTTTTCTATTATATATTCATTGATAAATATGAAGTAATATGGAGTCTTTGGTTGTCTTTGAGCTTGGTTGTTTGATTACAGATGTCTCAAACAAAACATCCAAGCTCAGGATTCCATGGTTTAACCCAGAGTTACATACATTTTCTTCTAATGAAGTAATATATTGATTTATTGATAGATCCAGTTGGAAAACAGTTGGTTCAGACTCCTGCTAATAAAACCTCTGAGATAAATGAGAGCAGGTACAGTATTTTTAAAAATTATTTTATATTTTCTTACATTTTATGCTGCAATCTTTTACAGGTACTAAATTTGCCAGTCAGTTGTTAAGACATATCTGAGTATTATCAGCTCAGACTTAACATTCTTTAATATTCTCTTTCCTAAGGATATACCCTGAGCAAAACTGGCCAGATAACCTTGATCTCAGGCTGCTCTTGATAGAGGTAGATCTCTGTGAAATGTGAATAAACACACAGACCTGGCATCTCTGGTTGGGTACAATTAGGGGTGTAACCCTGAATGAGCTCTGAGTTGCATATCCTTCACCTGCCATGGTGCCAAAGTTCAGAAAAAAGGCTAGCTGCAATTTTAGAGAGACCCTAGTGGACCCAGCAGGACTGCAGCGTAGATAATGGTTGCAAGGGATGATAAATGTGACTGTTGGTCTCTTCCCCGTTGCTGATCCTGAACACTTCCCTGTTAGAGAAGTTAAGACAGATGAATCAGATGGGGGGAAAAATCCTAGTATAACAATGCTACGATAACAAAACTCAGTACAACCCTATAATGGTATAAACCCATTTGAGAACAGACACTGACTGCCAAAATATGAATACTTCTGTATTCTAATGGCATCTGGACTGTCTGCAGATGTTTTGAATGCTGCTGTGCAGGAGCTCTGCTTGTACCAAAACGAGTTGTTTCAGACAGTTCTGGGAGGAAAATCATTAAACCACAGGTCATCTGTCACAGTATACTATTGATAATTCAGTTGTATAACCATCAAGGCCAAGATAGGGATACTATTAAAATCTTGAACAAAGGCAGATGCAAGGTTAAATCTGGTAAAAAAAAAAGATGTCATTTGTTGGTATAAATATATGTTCTAGGACAGGGGTGTCAAACTGGATTTCTTTGAGGGCTGGATCAGCATTGTAGTTCTCCTCTGCGTGGTGGGTGGCAGGTGGTGGAATGGATGCCTCCTGTAGCTTCCTGCCAGCCAAAACGGGCCATGGAGGGGTCTCCATGGCTGCAGCACTCTCCGGCTGAAAACGGGCTGTGTTTTTTGGCCATTTTCAGCCCATTTTTGGCTTGTTTTTGGCCCATTTTCGGCCGGCAGAGTGCTCCAGGAGGCCATGGAGGGTATAAATGAGGTGCCGGGAGGAGCACATGTGGTCCATTTTAGCTGCCAGAGGCTCTGCTGGTCAGTCCCTTGATATTTCCAGGCCAGCTCCGCAGGCCAGATTTAAGCACCCCTTGGGCTGGATCTGGCCCACGGGCCTAGAGGTTGACCTCTCTGTTCCAGAAACTTAAGTTCCAGTGATTGTGCTTCCCTTGCAGGAGCAAATCTATGACTAGGGGATCCTCTTGGATTCACAGATCCTGCTGGAGAAGCAGGTGGAAGCCCTGGTAGGGAGACAGTGTGCCAATTACAGCCCTGCTTGAACTGGAAAAACTTGGCTGTTGTAACTTCTACTCTAGTTCTTGTGAGATTGCACTGCTACAATGCATCATATTATTGTTATCTTTGAAAATAATCTCCAAGCTACATCAGATTGTGGCAGCCAGGATGTCAGAAGGAGATACCTATGTTGCAGCCACTCCAATATTCCATTCAGACAATTAATTATTATCTAAAAGCCCTACATAGTACAAGTCCAATCACATCAGAGGCCATTTTAACCCGTATGATTCTGCCTGTCTTGTACAAGTTGTACAGAAGGGAATCCATCCTACTGAACATAAGGCAGGTATAGACTAGGATGCACAGTAGCTCTTGCCCTCAGAAATACCCAGAGAACTGTCTTGGCTGCAGATTTTCTGACACTTCATAAGGCATCGAAAACTTTACTTTTTGAGCATATTTAGTATCTGTATTTGCTCCATATGTCCTCCTTTTTGATGCTGAAATGAAGCAGGAACAGAATCATTGTTCAAACAGGAAGTCTTCCCTCTCTACCCTGAAGAAAAAAGAAGGCATAGTTCCAACTTCCATCTTATAGATCTTTAAGTGAAATACAGGTAGTCCTCAACTTACAACCATAACTGAGGCCGAAATTTCTGTTGTTAAGTGAAACATTTGTTAAGTGAGTTTTGCCCTATTTTATGAACTTTCTTGCCACAGATGTTAAGTAAATCACTGCAATCAATAAATTAGTAACCTGGTTGTTAAGTGAATCTGGCTTTCCCGTTGACTTTGCTTGTCAGAATGTCACAAAATGGGATTAGTTGACCTTGGGACACAGCAACGGTCATAAATATGAACCAGTTGCCAAGCATCTGAATTTGGATCCCATGATCATGGGGATGCTGCAAAAGTTGTATCTGAAAAATAAGTCACTTTTTTCAATGCTGTTGTAACTTTGAACGATCACTAAATGAACTGTTGTAAGTAAGGACCAGCTGTAATTGCTTCCATTTATGAAGTAAGGATTGATGATAGAATATATGGAGGTAGTCTTTTTTTCCCCCTTTTGCTAGGAGCATACCATTGCATGTCATACCATCATGCAAAAATCATGTTTTCACTTTAGTTTTTTTTAAAAAAACTTAGCATGATAAGACAGGGTTGTGATCATCTTAAATAAAAACTTTATTCGTTGTGGACAATCAAACAGAAAGGGATTGGCCTATTCGTTTACAAATTTTGCTTGCTGTAAAATGTGAGCAACTTTTTTTGACAGAAGCATAGCTAAATTTTTGATAGTCTTTCCTCCCGAAGCTTAAGGTATCTTGCATTGCTCTCTGTTCTGCTTAGATTTAATATTAATTCAGTTGAATTGTGTGGGAGAGAAATACATTTTTATTAAAATAGATACATAAACAGTAACTTTTGCGAATTATTTTTATGCATAAAGGGCATCTGTGCCAAAGATTCCATTAACAACAAAATGTGGTGGCTTTCTTACATCTGAAGAACATATTCAAAAATTAAAAGAAGCTGCAAAAGATGGCGATAAGCAGCTAATTATAGTAAGTATTTGTGGTTGTTACAATTCTTCAATGTGTGTCAGGCTTTTATAAGTTAATAAAGTATAATATGTTAATAAAGTAGAAAAAATATTCTCTCTGTTATGGTGAAAGTAGAAAATGGGTTAAATCTAATTTAAAGGTTTCTTGTTATAGTATAATTTTCTATTCATTGTGGTGAAGAAACGTATTATATGTGTTTGATGTACAGCCGATATGGCCATCCATTATCTTGGACTGAAGGCTAAAACATGTAAAATACGGTTGCTGCAATTGGGTATGTTTAGTTTATATGAAAAGAAGGACGAGGGGTGATATGATAACAGTGTCCCAGTATCTCAGGGGTTGCCACAAAGGGCAACCTATTTTCCAAAGTCAAGCTATTCTCCAAAACATCTGAGGGCAGGACAAGAAGCAATGGATGGAAACTATCAAGGAGAGAAGCAATCTAGAACTAAGGAGAAACTTCCTGACGGTTAGAACAATTAATCAGTGGAACAACTAGCCTCCAGAAGTTGTGGATGCTGTAACACTGGAAGTCTTTAAAGAGAAAGCAATAGAATGATTTACTGTCCTTGGATTTGGACTACATGTTGTAGGTTCATCTGAATTGAATAGCCTTTTCCAACTGACCCAAAATCCCAAAATGTAATTTGGAAGGAAAAAAAAAAAGGTCTATCCTCACTAGTACAATCTTTTTGTCGTGTTTTTTAAAAAAAACACCCTACCTTTGCTATACTGACTCTCACCTGGCCATTAGTAGACTCCAGTGTCTCCTAAGGAAGACCACAGACTTTTGTTTGCATTGGGTATTAGTCATCATGGCCCTTCATGTCTCTTAGCACAATGAAGCATATCTGTCTGAAAAGCAATTTATAGAAATACACTGACAGAGTTCAGAAATCTTCTCTAGAACAGGGAACCTTCCTATAAAAAGAAATAAGTAGCAGAATATGATGGCTTCATGACATCTGGTTATGGAGAAAGCAGTGTTATGAACGACCACAATTGACCCCAAAATTTATGTTGCTAAGTTAGAAATGTGTTAAGTGAGTTTTGCCCCATTTTATGACCTTTCGTGCCATATTTGTTAAGTGAATCACTGCAGTTGTTTAATTAGTAATACCATTGTTAAGTGACTTTGACTTTACTTGTCAAAAGGTCACAAAAGGTGAACCAGTTGTCAAACATCTGAATGTAAGTCACATGACCATGGGGTTGTTGCAATGGTCATAACTCTGAAAAATAGTTGTATGTCACTTTTTTCCAGTGCCATTGTAACTTTGAACTAAACGAACTGTTTTAAGTTGAGGACTATATTGATTTCCCAGTTCTTGATTTCCCTGGACTAACAGAAAATAATAGGAGAATGTGCTATATTTTAATAGACGGTACATATTTTAATTGACAGGAAAGATCATGTTATTTTTCTGATGAATTAGCCCTGAAAATATTGCCATAACCCTAGTTTGCTTCAAATCCCAACAAATGTATTTTGATTGCTCTTCATAGTTGCTATCCTTGATATTGAAAGTACTTTAATAGTGTATGACATGGGTTTGCAGCTATTTATGTTCAGTAAATTGTATTATTTGGTTAGGAAAGTTTTGTTTCACGAGCTGTGTTTTAACTTTTAATATATAGGATGCAGGACAAAAACGGTTTGGAGCTATTTCCTGTAATATTTGTGGAATGCTTTATACAGCTTCAAATCCTGAGGATGAAACCCAGCATCTGTTCTTCCATAACCAGTTTATAAGTGCAGTAAAATATGTGGTAAGAATTTTTTTTTTTTTTGCTCCAAAGCATAAAGTATTTTAGATAGCCCCAGTGGATTATCCAAAATTATACTTAAAGCAGCAGTCAAATCCACTTAGAAATGTTTTATTTGTTAGTTTAAATAAAGTAATGAAACAGAGTTTTCCACATTTCTCCTAACTAATTGTTCAGTGGGTGAATATTATATCATCTGAGTTACCTAATACGGTCTGTATGGTGCTTTGGATTCAATTCAAATCCAAAAAGTATTTAAAAGCACTTGGAAACCTGCCTGCCATCCTTTAAAACAGCTGTGTCTTTTCCAGGAATTATGTGGCAGCTGCAGAAAGCATGCTTTGAAGCACTTTTGGAATCAAATTGAAAACACTCTATAGCCCTATTGCACATGCATTATTTATGCTTTTGCACAATTTATTTTTAAAAGCCATATTTCATACAAGATCGTTGAACTGACCATTATATGCCCCTGCAATTTATATTCAGAGTACCAGAACTCTGCTTTCTTTATCATATATGTTACCTTCCATAACTTGCATTGATATTGATAAGACCTCCAGGATAATTGAACTGAACTTTCCCGGCTGCTTCCAAAGTCTACCACACAAATACCATCTGGTTCAAATATAGCTGGTGATTTAATGATTTACAAAAGCTCTTACTACCTTTCATGATCTTATTGACCTACCTGTAAACTATTACCTTCTTATGGAAGAAATACATTACTAAAGCTCTGGAGAGCAGGATTTTTAAAGCATCTGGAAAAGCAGTGGTAGTGGGAGAGTAACAAATGCTTGAATAATTGAATGATCAGAGCTTAAGGTGAAATTTGAGCATCAGTTTTTTAACCTTTTTGCTCTTCAGTTTAATATAGTTTATTCCTTTTCTATTTTTAAAAATATTTTTGCTAAACTGGAATTCAAAACAGAAAACTCAGAAGCTAGAATACAATTTGCTTCTTATATAGTTTCATATTACAATATATATATTTCATTACAATCCAAATGTATGCAATGTTTGTTTCTAGCTGAAATTGAACTTTTGAAACATGACCAAACTGGGTGGATTTATGGAAAATAAGTTAAATCTTTTATGTGGTATAATTTTGTGAACTATATCACAAATAATAATTTGAATTAAAAGTTAAATTCTGTTTCAATTTATTTGAAAACCTTAATTCCCAATTAATTATTGTTGCAACCATTTATTTCTTTTAGTTTAATTAATGTTTATGTCTTAAAATTATTCTCAATTTATGTAAAATACTTTAAACACCATAAAAATTGTAATGCCATAAGCATAAATTCAACGCTCATGTCAAGGTACTCATATAATTTTCCCTCGTTCTTAGAACATTAGAGCCTCGGTGGCACAGTGGTTAGAGTGCTGTACTGCAGACCACTTCTGCTGACTATCAGTTGTTCAAATCCCACCAGGCTCAAGGCTGACTCAGCCTTCCATCCTTCCGAGGTGGGTAAAATGAGGACCCAGATTGTTGGAGGCAATATGCTGACTCTGTAAAACCACGTAGAAAGGGCGGTAAAGCACTATAAAGTGGTGTCTAAGTGCCATTGCTATTGCTATCTGTGAATTAATTCTGTAGCTGCCATTGCACATGTATTTGACATGAACAGTTAATTCTTCCTTTACTTTTTTAAATTAATTGAATAAAACAAAAGAAAAAAAATGACAAAATTATAAATCAATTATGGAGGGATGATATGGCCATTGCTTTGGAATAGATTACCACTGGAGCTGAATTAAATCCTTCTTTATTCTCTAAGAGAAAGCTATAATATTAATATTTATTTGCCTTTTATTGTCTTGAGTTTTTAATGTTTTATATTTGTTTTTAATGATAGTTTTATTATTACAATATTTTTGTAAATCACCTAAAGCCATTAAAGGAGTGGGTAACATATATATTTTCTAAATAAATAAATGGTAGGGAAGTATCATCCAGATAACTTTTTTAGGGTGTTAAAATAATATTTTGGTACTCTGAAATTAAAATGATTTACTTTATGAATAGGTGGGCTTAGAAATCTGATGAAATGAAATGATCAAATGTAATAGTTATCACAAATGATACCAGAAAAATCTTTATTTGAATTATTGTGTTAGCCTCAAAAGATCGACCATAAGTGAAGTTCCAGTTAAACTGATTTATTACTAATCATGCCTATCTATGTACAAGAATCTATACAACTAATTAGTACTATCTTGGCATTAAATAAGGGTCAACGGAATTCAAAAGGAGTTGCACTTAATCTGTTTGTGACTACGTAAAGCAACTTTAAGCTAAATCTTCTTTGACCCCAGGTTCTACCTCTTCTTCTCCTACAGATTGGTAGTATCACTATTTGGATGATTGCTATAACAGTATAGCACTGAAAATATAAGTCTCAGTGGAATATAATTAATTGTTTAATTTTTAGTGAGCTTTCTTTTTCTCTTCCTTTTTTAAAATGAATGTAGGTAAGGCTTTTGAATTTATTAGTCTAGTTATGGTACTTTTCTTTAGACTTCCTATAAATACCGCTTTAGGCAGCCTTTGCAAACAACATAAATTCTAATTTATGGATAAATTTAAGTCTTAATAGACTTAAGTGGCTTTTTGTTTTGTTTTTTCATGCAGGTACTGATCATTTATCACCATCAGTGTGGATCTGAAGAAGAGTTAATTACCTCATTTTTGAGTATGTTTAACTTCAGATACACACAGCGTAGCAACTTTCCCTTTTAGGGTGTTAGAAGGTAGCTATTCATTTATAGTCTCATTTTTGTGACTATTAGTTATAATTAGTGACACAATAAATGATTTCATCTTTTGAACCACTGAACCACTGCATGCCATTCAGTTCACTGAAAACCTCCTGGAGGTCTGTTGCATGCCACTTATCAAAATGTACACGTTTGTGGAGGTAACTGTGTTAAAGAAATGCTACATAGTGTACATATATACATACTCCTACTTGCACATACAGGCTCTGGACCATTTTGGGGAAATTTGCTGAATGAACAATTCTTAATGGATGAATTTTACAAGTATTCTGGTGGAAAAGACTAGGGCTGCCCAATGCTTCATGTTTGAATCCAACTAAGTGCTGGATCGGCACCTCTCTACAACTCTTGAAAGCAGCTGCCTTTTCCTAGGATGATGTAACAAATATGGAGGGCATGTGCTTCATTGAACTCATACGTATCTAAAACCAGCTTTTGTCCAAAGGGTCACTTAGCCCTAAAAGAGTTGTAAAGTGCAAAATATTTTCATAGTTTTCTATGGGAGCTTTTGAGTTATACAGACTATATTTATGGACAAGTATAAAACTCCATCAGGTCAGGATTTTTGTTTGCTAAGCAAGTGTGAATTATTTAACACGAGCTAAAAGTATAATTGTAAACAATGTATTAAAAGTATAAAAGCTTTGTGTTTAGCTGGGCATTGTTTTATTTTTCCTTTTTAGGGGTGGAAAAAAGAGAGAATTTTGTCTGAGTATCCTGATGGTAAGATTATAATGGTCCTTCCTGATGATCCCAAGTATGCACTGAGAAAGGTAGGTGAAATGTCTTGAACTGTATTTTATTTAATGGACAGGAGAAGGCTTTGCTAAACTTTTTACAGTGGTTTGTTATTGTTAAGAATGTGATAATAAATACCTACAAATAAATTTTCTCATCACTGAAGTTGCCAAATACATACAAGACTTTCCATGATTTCTTTCTTTGATTATTTCAGCTGCTGTTCTTACTAATATGAGACTGGCATGACAAGGGAATATCAAAATTGATGTGTTGCTAAAGCCTATGAATTTAATTGTCAGTTGAAATAAACCATTTTCCCTTGTGGATTTAAATGGAATTGTTTGCATGACATGACAAGTTTAGCTTAGTTATTGTGTACTGTATCACTGGAATGAAGAATGTCAACATTTTTTGGCTAGAACAAATTTAGTGTCTCTATGATTGTGTTAAGCTTGTTTATAGAACTTTACTATAATTTGAATTAGTTATATTTAAGTATGCATTGTACATTCTAAAATTTTGTTTCATTATTGCAGTTTTGTTTTTCTTTTATGCACATTTTCTGTGTTTGTGTGAGTAGATAGGTTAAATAAGATTTTCCTTTCCCAAATAGGTAAAACTCCATATAATTCCATACCAAAGCACTCTAAATATGTATCTATATTGAGTTTTGAACAATTATGCAAAAATACTTTTATGCTTTTTGAATGTGTACTCGTTATGTGTGCATATGTTCTTTAAAAAATGATTTTGAATACATTGACTCTAAGGCTTTTTATGTTATTTCTTCGGCAGGTTGATGAGATCAGAGAGATGGTTGATAATGATCTGGGATTCCAACAAGCTCCTCTAACATGCTCCAGAACTAAGACTCTATTATTTATTTCTAACGATAAAAAAGTAATTGGCTGCTTAATTGCAGAACATATTCAATGGGTGAGTAAACTGGATAACTATTGTCTTGTTACATTTTTATTAGAAAGTTCATATATTTTTACTTAAAATGTTGGAACCTCTGAGAATATTTCCTGTGAAAAGTTAATCATTAAAATAAGGAAATTTTTGTTTATAATGGAAAATGGAAAAAGTGGAGGGAGATAAAATAATATAAAAAGAAATATCAATTCTTAAGGGAGCAGTTATTGTAGTAGCCACTTGAAATACATATCAGAGATGTCTTCTCAGCTGATAGGCTACAATTCGAAAATTGCAGTGCAGCACTTGGTTGCAGAAAAAAACAGCAATCCAAGTTCTATAAGCAGTCAGTCGTGTTTTAATTCTTAGTGCTACTGGTAAATCTCTCAAATACTGATGCAAAATTCATTGTGATTTGAAGATGGCTGCAAAAAGAAGCAAGTTTTTGCTGCCTTGTAATCCTTGTGCTGATTTTTCCTACCATACTTTTTCATCCATCGGAGAAAGGTCTCTCAGCAGTTCTGCATTTTGAGCTATTTGCTTGTGTGGTGACTGTAGAAAGATGTTTCTTAAATGGGAGAGGGGATGTGTAAAGTTCCACAACTATCTGTTGGAAAAGGAAGTGCATGTGGCAAGTGGATTTTCCCATATTTCCAGCCATCTCTTTTGTTTCAAATAGCAAGGCTACTGAAGATAATTTTTTTGTAGTGTCTAAAGAACTATTCCAAGGAAAGTGGTTCTGTTCAGTACATGACACGATGAACTGAAGCTGCTCAGTTGGCATTTCATCCTTAGGCGTGTTAGGAGCAGCTGACATAAATCATTCCTATGAAATACCATTTATATTGTAATATTATAATGACCGTATTGTCATTATTGTAATAGTGGGGCTATTCAGCAAATATGACTGGATATAAATACCATATTTGGAAAGGAAATAGTTAAAATAGGAATTTGTTATTACAAATATGTTAACAATATTAAGATCAATCATAAAGAATGCTAATTGTTGTAATTATTGTTTCCCAAGGGATATAGAGTTATTGAAGAAAAGATTCCAGATATTAGTTCAGAAAATGAGATGCTTACTTTTGAAAGGCAAAAGGCCTGGTGCTGCTCAACAACTTCTGAGCCGGCCATCTGTGGCATTAGTCGCATTTGGGTGTTCAGCATGATGCGACGGAAGAAAATTGCTTCTCGGATGTTAGAATGCTTGAGGTAAGGACCTTTTGCATTAGTGTGAACGATTTATGGGGCACCTACATTACATTAAAAAAGGGCAAAGGGGTTGCTCACATGGCATCTTAAATTTTCTAACACCCTTCCTGTGGTTGCCCTTGACTGTTATTGCTTAAGATAATTGGCTACAGTCTGTATTCAACTTTTACTTTTATCTTAAGAGTAGTAAAATACCCCTATTTAATCAATTGGAAGTAAACCAGTCAAAAGTAAGAATTGTTAAATTGTTCACTACTTGTTATTTGGAAACTCTTAATTATGAGAGCAGATGTGACTATTTCAGAAGTGTGATAATTTTAAGAGGAGGATAAGATTAGGTAGCAACTGAATACTGGCTTTTGAAAAGCTTTAAAATACATTGTATTTGGGGCAGTATTTTTATGTTTGTTAGCTCCTTGATTCATTGGTATTATTTGCCCAGTGGAAAGTATATGTTTTTAAAAAGTTTCTGTGCCAGTTGTATTTTGTCACAGTGATTTTTTTTCTCTTGTCTTTAATCAGAAACAATTTTATATATGGCTCATATTTAAGTAAAGAAGAAATTGCTTTTTCTGACCCTACTCCGGATGGAAAATTGTTTGCAACACAATATTTTGGTACTAGTCAATTTTTGGTATATAATTTTCTCAGCGGACAACAGCCTCAAAGTGGTAACCTTTATGATAAAAGGTAATGAGAAATCATTAACTCTGTTGCTTGATGTTGACCAACAGATTTGGACTTTTATTAGCAGTGAACTCAGGAGTAGTAACAACCAATAAGGTGATGGTTGTATTTTATTAAAACTGTAAATAGCACAGAAGTAGAATAATTTTAAAAGATATTTTTAATAAAAAAAATATGTATTATCTCTAGTACACTAGCCATGTTTACATGCAGCAAATAATTTGTTCATAGTGGACTGTCAATTAGTGCAAGAACTATGGTCGCCTTTTAAGTATATTTTGAAGTTCACAATGTAATAGTATACCAAGGCAATGAGAAAGTCTGTCTATTTGGTAGAGTTGTGAATCTGAGAATCTCCATAGACATTTAGAAGTGTGAAAGTATTCTGTATTCAAGATCAATAAAAACTAGTGTCTAATCAAAGTATATAGTTGGCATATACATGTTGAATGGAAATAATTTTAAAAGAAAGATGTCAGCTCCTTTTGAAAAGTATGCCTCCAACTATACTTTAGCAATAGCAAATTGGTATATACTTTAATTTGTGGACTTCACTTGATACTTTAGCCTAAACCCCTCTTATTTCAGAGGGTGTACATAATGAAAAACTACTGTGGCCTTTCTTGACATGTATATAATGTAGATTTCAAAAGAAAACATTTGATAACTTTTAAATAATCTACTAATGATAAATGTATTTAAGCAATGTCTTTGATATTATTGACTATTAAAAGTTGATTGAAACACTGGTCTGGTATAATAATGATTTTGAATGTTAATAGTCACATTTACATTTTGGTAATCACGAGCACGTAACTTAATATTTCAAAGGAAGTTTTCAATCTACAAGTAGCTTGATTAGTTCAAAACAGTGCCTTATATAGCGTAACAATCATAGTTCCAATGTTTGCACTGATAAGGGATTTAAATGAACTACAGTAAAGGCTCTTACATCCTTTAACTGGTTAGTATTAAATTACAATCAGGATTAGAGGTTAGTTTCCCCCATGCATAGACTGGACAATAATCACACTACTCTTTTCGAAGCTTGATAAGGCTTGATGTCACCAATATGTACTCTACAGGACCATTTAGTCCTGTCTAAACCCAAAAGTAATATCTTTACATCAGCAAAGGGGCATTGTGGGGACATACTAAAATTGCTTTTTACATTGGACATATGCCAGTGTCCAGGCAAGTTGAAATATTCATATACTGGTTCTCTCTTATATGGATTTGTACCTGCACAATAAGGCTAGGCTTCTGAAATGGACAAAAAAGTAACCTAGCATACTTTTTCCTGAAGTGATACAAACAGCATAATATATGCCAGTGTTTTTCAACTATGGCAACCCTAAGGTGTGTGGACTTTGATTTCCAGAATTCCCCAGTCCCCAGTCCACATGCTGGGAGAGTTGAAGTCCACACATTTTAGAAATGCCAAGCTGAAAACCCACTGATTTTAGACGCTATTGTGTTCTGAAACTCTAATTACTCAAAAATAATTGTGAAACATTTCTAATATTTCTAATTCTAAACTAAAAAAATGTACATCACTTACCTTTAAAAAATAGTAGAACAAGCAAACCAAAACCAAATTAAAAGATTGATTGTACAATGGAAAAAAGCCTTAAAAGTATTTCATGTGGACCAACGGAGAGTTTGCAGTATATTAAGACCAACACTTCAAAGGTAATAACATTACTGATTTTAATGAAAGAACATTATAAACATACTATAGACACAACTGCAGACAACTTCTGTTAAATGTGAGGTAGACTGACCTAGTGAAGCTAAATTCACCATGTTTTGGTTAAAAGAGTTTTATACCAAGGACTGCTTCAAATCTGAGGAACTTCCTATAGAGTGAGTAGCTCTATGTAGGAAACAACATGTTCTGGGAATTAGCAACCAACTCTCCATAACATATATGGCATTTACACATCATTATCACACTGTTGATTTACAGATCACGTGCTTTATTTATTAAAAGATTAGCTCAGTAGGAAACTGGTCAAGTGTGAAGCAGTCCTAGGAGCAACATTTACCCTCTTTTTTTTTAGAGATCACATAAAGCAACTGTATAAATTACAGAAATAGAATCTGAGTCATTTTTTTTAAAAAATTACAGATTATATTCAGTAAACCTGGGACTTGTCAATTATATTTAACAAGTTCACAGGTAAAAATAATGCTGGCCTTTTAATACATTCATATCATCACCTTGCTACAAGGCTTGTAAATGAAATATTGTAACATTTGGTATCTTGCTCTGATCTTCTGTCCTACTTATCACATTCAGAATTTATTTCACTGTATTACAGAAAACTTAACATTGAAGTTGTGAAGACATTTACTGAAGAGGTTTCAAAGAATATTTAACCAAAACTCTTCTGTCTTTGCTTTCATGAAACTATGTTGAACTATCGATTCTTCTTGTCCAATTTAGAAAATATCTTTTAAGATCTTTCCACACAATCACACAAAACATTGCTTAATAGTAAGAGAGAATAGAGTTTTTATACATCAGTCAAGGATCAGCAAAATATATTCCTGCACAATTTGTTCAATAGGGAGTGCACTAGTAACTTCTAAACCAAAACTGCACAGTTTGGATAGCATGTGAGTTAAACACTTCATGTTGCGATTACAACTCAACAGCAGTAAAAACCATGTGGTGCGTCAAATAAAATAAGAACCTGCTACTCAAGAAATACATTTTCTTAGTATAAAACATAGTGTTTGCTCAGATATTGTAACCACTTACATTCTCCTTCAAATATGGCCCCAAACCCCGATTGTGTGAAAAGACCCTTTATCCCTAAATACTCAGCTTCTATTTTATACCTCTATCAAGGGTCAAAGCACCTGGAATTTTAAGAACATAGTGCAAACTTCAAATATATAAAGAAGATTTCAAAAGCTTTCAATCTGCAAAATTTGCAATAAAATGGCAACTCTTTGGAAACATTTACAAATTATGTTCAGCCTCATAAAACTACAATGAAACCTAGATTATCTGACATCCTCTACTTGTAACTTTTATGTAAATTTCTATTCCCAAAATGTAAAGGTACTTATTAAAGTATAAGGCAAATGTTAAGGGTACCAAAAAAAGAATATACTAAGGTAAACAATTGTTCATTTGAAATATGCTACATTTTTGTAAAAGTACAATAAAAACAATAATTTGAAAACCATTACTTCCCTTTCAACTTCAATATATTATGCTTTTCATTATTTGTAAACAGCTCTTTCACAAGGTTAAAAAAAAAGTTGCATGATTAACACTTTGTTCTAAATGCAGTTTGGGCAGGTGCTTCATTGAGTTTGCAGGTATCATTGTTTAAGCAGCCTCAAACAAATTACTCTTTGTTTTCACCATCTTATGAAATAGGCTGCACAACTTTAAATATCTGTGCAAGAAATGTAAGATTTGTATCCAAAGGAAGAACTACAGTAAAGGATAACATAAAAGAAACGGAAAACTGACTAATAAGCAGGAAATAAGGAAATGCTGTCTATAGGTAGTCCTCGACTTATAACAGTTCATTTAGTGTCTGCTCAAAGTTAAAATGGCACTGAAAAGTGACTTATGACTGTTTTTCACAATTACAAACTTTGCAGCATCCCCACGATCATGTGATCAAAATTCAGATGCTGGGCAACTGGTTCATATTTATGACCGTTGCTGTGTTCCAGGGTCATGTGATTCCCCTTTTGCAACCTTCTGACAAGGAAAGTCAAGAGTCACTTAACAATCAAGTTGCTAACTTATCAACTGCAGTAATTCACTTAACAAGCAAGTCAAGAAAGGTCGTAAAATGGGGCAAAACTCACTTCACAAATGTATCACTTAACAACTGATACTTTGGGCTCAATTGTGGTTGTAAGTCGAGGACTCCCTGCATTGTTAACTGCAGTATGACGACCTGATTGTACTAGACTTTAAATTTAAACACTCAGCATATTTCACAGCACAAAGTGCTGGTGCAAAGAACCTCACTTTTACACAACTTAATGCCTATTTAAAATTTAATACATCTCTTTTCTCTCTAATTCAAACAAATAAAAAGTACAGGGCTTGATCCAGTCAAGCACATACACGGTATTTGCATATGAAGGAGTTGTGCTAAGCTCAGGAAAGCTCCAGTTCTCCTGTTCCCCACCAAAGTACAGACATGTGCAAGCAGTGCAAGAGGCATTGCAGCAAGAGATGCTCTGGACCTACCTCCCATTTCCCTAATTCTGTGCCATCTAAAATTACTTGAGATTTGGAGCAGAAGCGTGGTGCCAAGGTGCCAGATCCAGACAGGAGTACTGCCCTGTTACGGTGCCTCCATTTGGCCATTTGCTCACACTGGCAAGTAGGGAGAACAGAGCTGTATGAGCTCCGCTGGGCCAGTGTTCAACTGCTTCAAACCCTATAGACCAGCCCATTTTTCCAGGTATGTTTTAGATTGTTGGAAAGCATGGCATCTGTTGCTGGTCCCAATTCAGTGGAAAATGATTCCTAAAGGACTTTTATAGTTTAATTACATAATAAAGTACCGTAGTAAGCCCTGTTATTCCTGTTCTATACTCAGTCTCTGCATCATAGAATAGTAAAATGCTCTTTCTAAAGCACAAAACTAACATTTTTCTATCCCCAGCAGTCGAGAAAACTGAAGCAGGTGAGGCATCCACTGCAGAAACAATTTCAGGAATTTCAGCTATGCAAGAAACAAGAAAGTTATTTAGCCATTTCAAAACAACATACAATAACACCGAGGACAGAAATCATTGGTGGAGCTTAAATACACTGAGAAAACAATATGCAAAAGCTATCTATTTTAGGCTGGCTGAACAGATACTTTTCAAACCATGGTCAGTGATGATCTGAGTGCAAAAAGCAGGTTTGTACGCAGCCTCTCCTTTGGGATCCAGTTTCATATATATTGTCGAAGGGAAAAAAAATATGTCACTTACACAGATTCTCTCTTCACAAAGGATCTCTGGATTTAAATCAAAAATGATACCCCCAAGCTGCATCTTTATATAAATGCCTGCCGTACATTCACTGATTTGTTCAGGCTTTTGAAGTAAACGTTTTAACTTTTGTGGAAATTTTGCCAAAAGAGTTTCAATACATTAAAAAAAAAATTACAAACCTTCACCTAACACTGCACAGAAAGTGAATAAAGATTATTCTTTCAAACACAAACATTTGTGTTTTGTAGTTTTAAACCCCTGAGTTTAGACCGTACCAAAAGTACAGATATGAAGAGAAATGGACATCATTCCTCAGTACATCATCTTCAGACGGGCCCAGTTGCCTTGTATGTGTCTCATGTAACTCAAACTGGCAGAGGCCAAAAGTAATTTAATTCCCCCTCCCCTTGGAAAGATTTCTCCATATCTTAGTCACAGTTGGTATAGCGTCTTTAAATCAGTAACCCAGAAGGAATTAACTTGAGATCAATGCTCTTTTCATCATAAAATAAGAGAGAAAACTTCTACAACTGGGCCCGAATTTGGAGAAATCCTTAAAATAGTGATTGAACTTGGGTTGCACTTTGCTCCACAGTGATTGTATATTAACTGAAATAAGGAAAAAGATAGAATTCGGCTCATTGGGTTCTGCATCCTGTGCCTTTGACTCAAGCTTATACATGGCGTCCAGTCAGAAAATAAAGTGGTTTGTCATCAGAGCTGTTAGCGGTTTGGAATTCATCTCTCAGACGGAACTGCCACTCATCTTCCAGCTCTAACCGGACAATAGTTTGACGCAAGGAGCTCCTGTCTTGGCATATCACACAAAGTGTTGCACCTAAAGTTAAAAGATGAAATTAAATAGCAGACATTTTATACCACAGCTTAATTTCCACTACATTTATTTTCTGCGATTGCTCTCTATTACTTGGAAACATTATTGCACTCTTAAAAAAAGTATAGTAAAGAGTAATAGTAAAAGAGCCCTTGTGGCACAAATGGTCAGAATGCAGTATTGCAGTCTAATTCTGCCCACAGCCAGGAGTTTGATCCTGACCGGCTCAAAGTTGACTCATCCTTCGATCCTTCCAAGATGTGTAAAACGAGAACCAAAATTGTTGGGGGCAATATGCTGACATAAATCATTCAGAGAGTGCTGTAAAGTACTATATAGTAGTATAAATTTCTTCAAATTATGACTGAAATCATCATGTAAATCTCAAATCAAAGTATACAAAGTACTTCCCTGATTTTCCTACCTGAGAAAACATAGAAATGCAGACATTAATAAGTTACAGATTTTATTGCATCTATAGCATTAGTTTTTTATTATTTTGTTTATTTCTGGAATATGGATAAAAATAATGTATAATATGTTAAAAATATACTAAAGTAATACAAAATGCAAAGCAGAATCTCTGCATAACCAAGCCTGTACATGGAATCAAAAGTCTCACTTCACCTTTTATCATTCACTGAAAAAAAAAATGGAGCAAACCGACAGCCTATCACCTTTATTAATAATGCAAGGTGTGGAGTTCTGGAATTCTTTCCCTTTCCTTACAGCAGTAGCTATGGGAGATGTCTGTACTTTCTTCTATGTAGCAAAGTATTGTGTATCTCTCTGCATGTTTCCAGTCTTTCATGTGTTGTATGTATGTATATGTACACTGAAAGTTCAGGTCAGGCTGCACGGGGTCTCCTTTGGGTCATGGGACAAGGAAGGAAAGGGACTCCGGATGAAACTGTTAGCAGAGCCCTTAGGCTCTTTACATAGATTTTTTTCAGTATTTCAAGAATAAAAAAATAAACAACTAGGATATTAAGGAGCAGCTAATTATTTAATATGTTCTCCCCAAAATAGAGAACAGACTGCACTTAAATGAATGTGCATTTAAGAACCAAGGATGAGACTATTTTGCTTCTGGCTTTTTCATGTTTTGGGGTAAAGGTATTGGAGAATTAGAAAGTGGAACTGGAGGACAATGCTGCTTTTCATTACACTTCTACAACTTTGTCAAATAAGGATTGTTGCATTGCACAGCATATAATGGCAATGTTTCTTCAGTCTATCCTTGTTAGGGACCAGTCAGCAAGTTCTATACAGAAATCACATTACCTTTCAGGAATTTGAACCTTTTAAGAAAGTCTGGTCCAACGAAGGAGTCACAAAGGTAGAGAAGAAGGCCACTGAAAAACACCCCTTCGCAGTTCACATTAACTGAATGTGGCCGTGAACTTACATAGCAAAGAGCTACCTATACCAGAAATGGGAACAGATACATAGGTTTAAGTCTTTTTTCCTTAAAATGCTCTTATCTCAACATGAACATAAATATCTTATCAAATTAGCTTTAACAATTAATGGTGAATTCCAAACACATTCATGTTTAGAATGTAGATTATCCTTTTAATAAATCATAACTTTCCAAAACAGACAGAGTGAGTTTAAGAAAATTAAGGCAAAAGTTGTTTAAACAGTAAAAAGAGATTGGAAGAATCTACTATATGCCGAAGAGCATTAGATTGTCTATCCAAACATTTTAAAAAGGAGAGGGTAAAATATCCTGGCAAACAGTTCTCAACATCGAACATATTGATAAAGCAATTAAAAAGAGTAATATTAGTGCTTTAGTTTGACCAATAAAAGATTGGAATTGCCTTGCCACGTTCATTTCTTTCAAAGAGAAGCCTTTATTTTTCTACTGAGTTATAAAATACAACATTTCTGGATACATACCTGAGGTCCAATATTCAAATAGCAATCAACAGCTAGGACAGGGTTTTTAAAGTTGTAGATGGCCTTTGGGAAAAGCTTGTAAGTGGCATATTGAAGGAACTTCTCTAAAAGGAATTGAGCTGGAGCTGCCAAGAGAGTATGCTCGCTGTCTGGAGCACAAACATACTGAAGAGGGATTAGTGGAGTCAAACTTTCTGAGACCTAGACAGGAAAACAATACATCCGTGTGAAACATATGGAGAATATTTAGGCAGTTCAGAGTACAACTAGCATTCAATTATCAATTAAAAGGTTGGACAGAGTGGAAAAAATAAGAAAAAAATGGAGCTGAGCTTGAACAGGTCTTGGCACACTATCCCTCTCTGGACCTTCCCTTGTGGTAGTGGCTGTGTATGATAAAAGAATAAATGAATGAATCAATGAATAAATAAATAAATCTGGAAGCGGTACCCAGCAGCAATAACCGCACAGATCACTGATGCTGGACAGCCAGTACTTCCTACACAGGAAGAGAGCCAGTTTGGGTGGCTAATGGTGAAGGTATCAGGCTACAAACCGGAAAGCTATGAGTTCTAGTTCCACCTTAGGCATGAAAGCCGGCTGGGAGACTTTGAACCAATCATTCTCTCTCAGCCCCAATCTGCCTCGCAAGGTTGTTGTTATGAGGAAAATAAGAGGAGGAAGGAGTATTACGTAGGTTTACCATGTTAAGTTATTTGTAAAAGTAATAATGTTGGAAAATAAATATACAAACAAACAAGAAGGGGGGGAACCATTAAGAAAGAATTAAAATATTCTTATAACAAGCATTCATATTTATTACAGGGACTGTGTAATGATGGCAAGTCTAAATAAGCAAACAAGCAATCCCCCTTAGGAAGAGTTTTAGTATGAGTGTCCAAAACATTTCACATTTACAGTAAATTGTTCCTAACATATGGAGCTATGAACTTAAAGCACTTGTGTCAAAATCAAAGGCCTTACTAAGCACGAAACACTTCTGAAATAATCAGAGCTATAGATTGCAGCAACCTCTTTTGAACTCAAACTATTTCAAATTCAAAATGATAACCTCAGAGGTTTTTTGTGAAATTATTATTATTATTATTATTATTATTATTATTATTATTATTATTAT